ATAGCATTCTGCAGGACACCCAGTGATCTTCATGGGCCTTATTTTCTATTTCAGAGTTTTTTACAGTTTTCCCTGATATGAGTCAGACCTGTGCTAGGTATTGGTAACACGGAGGTAAACCATAGACACAGTATCTCCCTCAGGGGGAAGGTTATAATGTTGCCTTATGTTCTAATAGTGGGGTGTAGGGATGGGGAACACACAATTTCTGGAAGCCAAACTGAGTCTTTGCCATTTTTTTCTAAAATCAGATTATAAAAGCACTTTGTACCCTGAGAAAAACCAGGGCTCTTCTGTCTAGTTCTAAATCCCCAAATAAATGAAGTCTTAGGCCTTTCCTGTGAGTTACTGACTCCCTAACAAAAACTACTTTATTTCATGTCTGCAAAACCCCATCTGAAAACATGTGATTACCTTTGCAGATAGAAAAATCAGGTGAGAAAATTGCTGTTTCTTCTACCTTGGACAGACTAACCCTTGATAACTTTTTCCCTTTGAAGTATCTGTTATATTTTTTATTTGGTGATTTATTGTTCTAAAACCTGGACCCTCTTGTGAAACTTCTTTTCAGGCAAATTTTTGGTTGATTTCTAAATGCTTTTGTCCCTGAATTTTCTTTGAGACAACACACACAGCAACAACCACCACCAAAATAATTAGAGATTGTTGTAAGTGCTGCGAAATCAGTAAGTGTAGTGATACAATAGAGATAAATTGAGAAGAGAGAATTACTTTAGTTCAGGGGTCAGCAAATTTTTTCTGTAAGGGACTGGGTAGTAAATATTTTAGGCTTTGAGGGACATCCAGTCTCTGTCACAATTCTCAGCTCTGCTATTGTAGTGGAAATGCAACCATAGACAATGTGGAAATGAATGGGCATCACTGTGTTCCAATAAAACTTTATTTATAAAAACAGGTGGTGGGCCAGATTTGGAATTTGGGCATTGTTTGCTGATCCCTGTTTGAAATCATGCAAGACTTTCCTGAGAAGGTGATATTTAAGATGGAACTTAAGAATGAGAAGAAGCTGGCATTCCAAGCAGAGCCAACAGAATGCACAAAGGCCCCGAGGTAGAAAAGAATTTGTTGTATCTGAGGACCAGTGAAGGGGCCAGTAATGGAAGCACAGTGACTGAGGGAGAGCGTGGGAGAGGAGGCCAGTGATGTTGGCAGGGGCAGGGCCATGTAACAACTTGTGGGCCACAGTAAGGAGTTTGGATTTTATTCTAGGAGCAAGTTGTTATGGGGTTTAAGCTGTGGAGTGACTATATCAGGTTTTAAATTTAAAAAGTTAACTCTGGCAGCTGTGACCTAGAGGGGCACAAAGCAGAAGGGTGAGACTGGCAGGCAGGCTATAGTAGTTATTGGGGCCAGAGCTGACAGCAGACATGAAAGGTGGCCCTGATGCCCCGGCTGGTGTGGCTTGGTTGGTTGAGAGTCGTCTAGTATGCGAGGGGTCGCTGGTTGATTCCTGGTCAGGGCACATGCTTGGGTTTTAGGCTCTTTCCCCGTAGGGGGGCGTGCAGGAGGCAGCCCATGGATGTTTCTCTCTCTCTTTCCCTCTCCCATCCTCTCTCTCTCAAATCAATAAAAAACATTTTAAAAAGAAAGGAAGGGAGGGAGGGAGGGGGAGGGGGAAAGAA